ACTTTCTTTTTGTGGTGAAACTTACAAATTGTCGTCATTCTGTTTCTTCTGGCAGCACCATCTATGGTGACACTTATTCTTTTCTTGTTTTTTGCCATCACCATCTTTGTCGGTAGCTCTAGACGCTTGTTGGTGACAGTTTTACATTTACTCACAATTTGCCTTATTTTATAGCAAGCATAATATCTCTTCTCCCTTTTGTCCATTGGATTCTTGTAACTTTTAGTGGCATCTTGCTTCTGGTCAACCACCTTTGGTTTCAATATTGACTGTTTATTCTTGGATTTGTTGTTTATACTCCCTCCATGGGCTTCCATATATTGTTATGCCAGCTTAATCGTCTCGTTCACGTCTTTTGGAACACATGATCATGAACTCTTCGTGTATTATTAGATCTGCCAGTCTTTCAAAACCATCTTCACACTTGGTCATGTCAGTCCACCTTGTGAAGTATCACTGTAGACATGCCACAAACTGAAATACAGTTTCTCAAGTGTCAGATTTGACTTCTCTGAACTTCCGGTGAAAACCTTCTTCAGTAGGTTCATGGCGTTTCAGCAAGGCCACTTTTTACTTATAATAGTCCATGGCACCTTTTGATGTCATTCCCACATGCACTTGTAGGTATTTTCCTGTGAGAAGGGGGATTGAGACAGACTGCCCAGTCACCTTTATCATTCTTGTGTCCTCCATCTTTCTGTTGGGTGAGATTGGCAAACTCAATATGTGTTATTTTTCTCTTTATTTCCTGTCTCTCCTCTTTATTCTTTTCTTTTTGTTATTTTGGGCTAATATTTCATGCTCACACTCTTCTTTCAGTCTTTCTCTTTTTCAGCTCTTCTTGTTGTTTAACAAACTTTCGTAGATCACCATCTTTGAGTTCATGTTGCTCGCCTCTCTCTATCTGCTTATCAAAGTCAATCGACATGGTTATATAGTGAGGTTGTGACCTCTACAATATTTTCACCACTGATAGTTGTGCATATATAAGCCTATTTGCCGCTGTTGTTTACATTTACTTTTACCACTGTTTGTCACTGTAGATCCTGGCTGGCTCACCACTGTCAGGTTTTTATGTATGGATGTGCCGAATTCTTTACAGTAGGTGTCTGTAAGTTGTTGATGATGAATTTCAAAAATAAACAAAAGAGCACACAGTCAACTTGTTTTCAAATAATTTATTAAAACAAGTCAAAAGTATATACAAATGTTTGTTAACACAATTAATTACCACAATTGTATCCAGAGCTTTAAATAATCTTCTCTTTTCGTCAAAGTCCACATAAGTTGGTTCAGTTACTTTAGAACACAGTTGACAAGACGAATTATTCTTCTCTGCTCTATTATTACAATGCAATCGGTGATAATTTCACTTACGTTACACTATTTCTTACCACCATTGAATGGTAGTTTGAACTGTTAAAAAGTGTCATACTGGCAACTGCTAGTGGATTAACTTTTTAGCTCAGTTGTTAGATCACCCATCTGGTGTGTGACAGGTCTTAGATTTAACGTGAACCAACAACTTTAAAACCATAAACTGACACATTGTATTGTATTGTATGTAGAGGTTTCATTATATGTTTCAATTATTTTTGTATCTGAGTAGTTTATTTTGTCTTATGTACTATTCTGTTATGAATTCAGTGTTTAGTTAAATGTTCTTAAGTCACACCTGTAAATTTGGTGTCAATATAGTAATACATCATATAGTCATTTTGTTTCTTTTGTGTTGTTCTGTAACATTTTGTCCTTTCTTACAAGAAAATGTAATTGTAATATAATTTAACAAGATGGTGTGGTAAATTCATATCGCCATTAAACCGTCTAAATAAAAAGCGACTTGAAAAATAAGCCTAAGGTAAATAAAAACGAAGTTGTGGTATGCAGGTATCAAATATTTCACCCTCTTATAATGAATATATTTAATATTAAAAATGAAAAAAATCTCTAGTTTAGAATGGCAACAGACACTTTTAGGAAAATGCCAGCAAGCTCTTCTTTCTCCAAATTTGCCAAAGTTTTTTATTAAATGGCCAAGCAAATATTTATGAAAGAAGAAGTTATAAAAACTTGGTAATGAAAAAATTACAAAATAATAGGTTTATATGAAATGACTAAAATCACTTACACTTACAGAGGTATGTTTTGCATTGAGACATCCAATTTTTGATTAATTTATTTTTATTTTTCTCTTAGTCGGGGGTTTCTATTCATCCAGGAGGAGCTGGGACAATTGCACCCATTCACTCCCCCCTCCTTAATCCGGCCCCAAGACTGTGTGTATGTGATTTTCTTCTTGGTGTTGGCTATCTCAAATTTCACTTTTTAATACATTAACATATGTTGACAAATTTATTAAGACATTTTTTATATTCTTTGTGTTATCATGATCTAGCCAATTGTGATGCAGACACTGAATGATTTAAATTTTGCTTCATAATTTCAAAAAACATAAGATTATAGCCTTTCTTCTCAGGTAAATTCACCGATTATGTTGAAAACTGACTCATAATACTGCTGTTGTGTTTTCTCTTCTCTGGTTCATAGTACTTTTCAGCTTGTGCCAAAAGGTTAACTTCCTTGGTGTTCTGTTTTCCCGTGCAGGAAATTTTATTTGGCCAAGTGCTTATTTGATCAAATACTAAATGATATTATTCGATGGCATTTTTGGTCATGCAGATATCAACTAATATCTTGTTATGTTAGGTCTGGAGGGAATGTGTTTTTGCCCAATCAGGTAGTAGTTTGCCAAAATTGGATGCATCATTGTTATAATTCGACATTAGTTATTTTTTAAACGTAAAACTTGGGTAATTGATCTTGAAATTTTTAACTGATGACAGTGAACACAGTTATGCTTGGTAGTGTAATTCCTGATACAACAAAATCGGTAGCATCCTAACTGCTATTTTATCTAATACAAAATGCTACCTGCTACTGGTGGATGCCAGAATCTTTGAAGTGCAAGTGATAACCTATCTTCTTGCATCTGCTGCTGCAACTTTCCATCTAGACTGTGTCAAAATTAATGACTGCTCTTGACTAGACTCTGTATATTTTTAATTTTTTAGGAAACAACTGATGTTGTCATGTCTTGCTTACTCGGTAATTTATCAATTGGTAGTGTTTTACAAAAATGATAAAAGGATGCTATCTTGCTCATCTGAGGCCATTTCTCAACATGTATTCAAGTACAGTTGTTGGAAATCATCAACGTATGCAGTAAACTGAGCCACATACAATGGTGATATTAACTTATTTTAGATCCTTCATGAAGCATTAACATCTCCCACTTGAGATGACAATATGTAGTCATTAATCTACGTAAAAGCTGTACTACCTTTATTATTTTGCTTAGAAGGCCTTCTGTTCTATCTTGGTGGTTTTCGAGCAATTTCAAGATTGGATCGGGAGGTCCAATTTTATTGTGGTATCACTTTTAACAAAATCATTGCAATCTCTACTTCTGAGTTAGGTGCTTGGAAGTGTTTGCTACTTTACGACAGCGGAAGTCGTGCAAGGCTGGGAGCATGCGCGCTGGAGTTTCTCGAAGGATCATGAATTTTCCTGGCAACTCTAGTTTGTTCCAGGCGCCCTCTTTTTTAGTATATAAGCCCGGTCAATAAAGCCAGCAAAAAATAATGGAACTGCATAGATAGATAGATATAGAGATAGATAATTGAGTCAAGCGAACAGTAGGCACCGTAGGTAAAGTGTGTGAATCGCTGTGAATTATAGCGTGTGCTTATAAAAGTAGTTACGTTAAAGTGACTGTGGAAATTCTGTGTTTTACAAAGTTGTAGTGATAAAGAATAAACTAGTTTTATTTAGGAAAGGACTTGTATTGCTGAAGTTCCTCGGAAAGAATTTATACCGGAAATTAACAAATGAACAGAGACGTAACACTACATTCTCAAGTCTTCACTGCTGGTTCTTGAGGAAGCCTCAGTCCCTTTCAGCAATTCGTCTAAATTGAGGTCAATTTTTTGTGCCTTATGTTCTCTACTTTGGTTAGGGGAGGAGAGCAAGCCTAAGAAAAGTACTGTTAATTAATATGAGGCATTATGTTAAATGTCTTGAGATGTTACATTGCGGTTTCATGCGCTCATTTTGTCTCAATTACAATTACACAGAAAAATGTTCAAGTGGTGAAAAATGAAAAGGTTGTTTAGTAAACTGTTCGATAACTTCAGTAGGCTTGCTAGGTGGAATAAAAGTAGTTTGATTTGAGAAGTGACTAATGCACAAACGTTATTGTGATACCTAAAAGTTATTGTGTGTTATCGCTTGGATAATTACGGTTAGGTCATTTTAGTGAGTGATTACTAAACTTTTCTAACATTAATTAGTGACCGAAAATTGTTTTATATGACGCTAATTAGTCAAACATACGTTATGAATAAATTATAGAAAAGAAATGTCAGTATAAAAAAGGGGGCTACCTGTGCTCTGCCAATTGCAGGTATTGAAACACGATTTTTAGTGTTATATGCTCTCATGCTTACCACCGAAATACCTGGGAAAGGGACTGGGGTAATTTACATATAAATTTCCATTCAGAGCTTACCACCTCCCCTCCTCTCCCCCAGTGGCACATATGTAAGTCTATAGACCTACTACGCAAAAAATTAGGTTTATCCGTGAATAAATAAATAGACAATTTGCATGCGTTACAATTGTTCTCATTGTATTTCCTTCAAAGTTGTTGGGCTTTAAAATAAAATTGAGATTTTTTTAAAAGTATTTTGTTATTATTCATTTTAGATATATACACGTAATATTCGAAGACATAAAAGTTTTATAGGTTAAGTACTTATATAGTAAAATAAATTAATTTATATACTCTGAAACTGAAGCCTTTAAAAATGAATAAAGAAGAGATGAAGAATTTTCTCTCAAAATCAGATCAAGTAAATTATAAACACAAGCCTAGAGTGTTTAATATTGCTGTGATAAATTTTCAGGAACAAAACATTTTTGTCTCTCTCCCTTTGTTTTTTTTTTTCAAGACTCACATTTTTATTTTTAAAAATTTAACACAGCAACCAAAATGGCGGCTTGTCCACGGTGTTGTGCTGTGTCGAGGTGAATAAATTTGTATTATTAGTACGGCAGTTATACTTGTTGTGTGTGTATTTTTAAATTTAATTGTCTATAAACTTTCGTTTTATTTGTACATGTAATAGGTACGTGAGATTTGGGGTAATTTCTACTAACAATGTAGAACTATAGTACTATTACTAGTACTAAATAATAAGTAATGCCACTATTTTAAGTATTTAATGTATGACTATCAGTATTATTGTTTATGTTAGATTTTTATTGTCTAACTCTAAGTCTCAAGCCGTTTTAGCCAAGCTACTGTTTAAATTATCGTATAAAATTGAAATTAATGATAACTATAGTAAAGGCACCCTTGTAATAGTATCATAAAATTTTTTACCAAAACCATGCCTTTCCAATTTTATTTTTAGTAATATTTCTACTACTGAGTACTAGTACTAAAGACGTAGTAAAATTACTAGTACTAATTGGTCGACGCATACATCTAATGGTCTAAAAAATTTAACTAACAAACATGCCTTATCCCTTTATCAGTATCAGAAACCCAAAAGATAAAGTGAATTGCTGTGATTTTTGTAACTGTATACTTTCCCCTATGAAACAGTTAACTTTGAGATCTAGAAACTTAATATAAATTTCATCATTTTTGTTTTTTATTTGAAATAACTGGAGTGCATACAATGAATATTAATATTTTATTATTCTTTCTGCTCAAAACAGTATGGTTTCTAAAGTATTTTCCATTTCCATTTTGTAGATGAGAGTCAGAATGCTTAATGCCAATGTTTCATGGAAATGTGACAAAATATGACCTAGAGATATATTAATGCTAAAGAAATAACATGTTTTTGCATCTTGTTGGGGCAGGTGCAAGATTGAGCAAAGTGTTCTTCATTTGAGGAATAATGAAAAATGTCAAGAGCTGCTCCATTTTAATTCTTGTATCTTTTTGAAGCCAGTAATCATTAAATAAATAAGCTTCAGATTCTGGAGAATAGGAGACAAGATAAACACCATTAATTGTTTGCAAAATCACTTTCTATAAACTTGCATTGCATGGTAAGACAAGAACATGAAGGCTACAACACTACTACTAGTACTAGGCAGCCAGTGTCCTTATATACTTGCAGGGGTTCTTAATAAGTTAAGTACATGAGGATTCACCAAGCTAAGTAAAGAGTAATGCTTGCTCACTTTTTGTTTATTAAGCATTGTTCTTTTATCGGTTTATGATTTCAAGCAGTCCATTGTGTAATCCAAATCAAATGAAAATATTCGTTAACTGACCAATCCAAGTTCATGCTCCATTTGTTTTTCTTTACAACTTTTCTCTGTTGAAGATGTGATGGTTTGTTCATCTGGTTAAGAGCTGATTTTAGCTTAAAGGCAAGAGATGCTAACATTCTACACATTTAATTTGGCTTTAATGAGTAATCTGACCATCATAAAAACAAATTATATGAGGTTAAAGTATAGGGTTGTTGTTTTGGTATATTTTAGTTAGTTTAGCTGGTATTGGATAATTAGTTTTATTACTACAGGTATAGCTAATCATAAGTTATGACATTAGGCTTAATACTAGATTGTTAGGCAATTTTTTAGTTTTTAGGTTTCTTCTACCACTAATTTTAGGATATAGGTTAATATAGCTATTAAATATTAGATTGAAACAAAGAGTTTTCACTAGTGTTAGCTAAGTAAGTAGGATAATTTAACTTATAAGTTTAAGTTGCTATTTTTGTTATTATTTGATAGCTGCTAAATATTTAATACATTTGTAAATTGTTTAAATTAGCATGTAGTTGTGCATAACTAGAAGTATGGGGTTCATCATAGCTGCAGTACTAACATTGGTAATTAATGGAATAATTAGTGCTTTAAAGGGGATTTTGGTGTTTCATTTACCTACAATCTAATACTTTTATGTACAGTTTGGCTTAGCAAGTTTAATGTGACTTTAGTTAGAATTTTAGCTGATAAAACAGGCTAAATATATTGTATTATTACATAATTATAATATAAAACTAGTTATTTGTCACTTTTTATTTTCAAGATAAACTTAATCACCTTAATGAGACGATAATATAGTGATGAAATAGCAGTATATTTAAATCTAAGTTAGGCCAGACATGGTTTTCAGTAGGCTACTTCAAATACTTGTACTTAGCATTGATTATTTATTCCAGGCTACAGTGGATATGAGTAGTGCAAGTGTTAAGCATTCATAATTTTTAACATGTGATGGGTGCAAGGAGTGGGTTTTATTTGGGATTTCAGGACTGGTATTTACATTTAAAGGAATAGTAAAAATGTACAATTTGTATATAGAGTTTGCAAGTAGGAGGAGTAACTTGAGGCTTAGATAGGGTAGAGGCAATGGATAAAGAGAAGGGTAAACTGTGGGAAATAGCAGCAGGATTTAAAGAGGAACTTTAGAATTTGCATATAAAGGATATAGTGGCTAATAATTATTTTCTTGTTTTTAGAAATGGTACTAATAGAGCTTGTAGTAGTGGATTTAATTGAACAACAGATTTCAGCTTTTTATTTACACATGAGGAACTAGGGGAGGGAAGGTTGAAAAAGGAACAGATAAGGATGGAAATAAAAATAACTGAGGTTATTGTTACAGCTGATTCGTTAGTACAACACATGGATAGAATAGTCTGTGGTAAAAATTGGAAGAAAAAAATTAGTTTATGCTATCCAGGGGGCAGAGGTTAAGGATATAACTAACGGATAATGTAATATAGTAAAGGGTGCTAGATGTGATGCAGTCTTTTTTTTGCATATAAGTGCTAATGATGTAGGGAAGGGTATGTCAGAGGAGCTAATTGTTAGGTACAAGGCATTCAAATAAAAGGGCCATAATAACTTAATTCTGTCAGGGATACTGCCAAGAATTATTTGTGGGATGAAATTATAAGTAGGTTATCACTAGAGCTGAATGCTAGTCTTAGGTTAATATGCAGTGATGAGCAGGTTGGTTGTTTAGATTTGTGGAATTAGTTCAATAGGAAAAGGGTGATTTTTGGAATGGATAGTTTACATTTAAATAGGATAGGATTATTAATTCAACTGTAAAGGCAGCTGTGAACTAGTATTAGACAGTGGTGAGGGCCAGAATAAGAAGAAAAAATAAGACATAGAGAAAAGTATAGTTTAGAACAAGCGAAAGTATCATCCTCAGTGACGGGAAAAGTTTATGTTAATCTACCAATTTGAATTATTTCATGGACTGTAAAAAGGTTAATGTGTTGCACACTTATACTGCCCACCGCAAAAAGTAATTGTTGAGCATTTCAGTCATGCTAAGAGCCGCTCAACAATACCATACAGTAAATATACGTTTTTATTCTTTAAGTTACATCATGTTTTGAAATGTGAATGGTAGTGTGATTAATTCCTAACAATTTAGTATATAGTATCCAGCTTGTGAAATAAAATTTGGCATCAGTATTATTCATCCCTGTTCTCCTGTCATTTCAAAAGTGAATGTTGAGCTTTGCCTGCATGCCCAGCTTTTCAAACAGGAGGCAGACGAACGCTTGGGCGGCCACTATATTACACAATATATATATATATATATATATATATATATACATGAATGTAGTTCAAAAGTAGTTTTAATGGTAGGCTAAAGTGTTATTATTGTAGTGCAAGGAGTATAATTAATAAAATGGGTGACCTTATAGCACTGGTTGAAACAGAAGATTTTGTTGTAATGATAATAGCTGAAACCTAGTTAGATTTATACAGTTTTGATTACAGAAATTTCTTTGAAATGTGGGGATATAGGTTATTAATAAGGGTAGAGTACTGAAAAGAGGAGGAGGAGTGGCTTTATTTATGAAATGAGTTACTGTTCAAGTTGAGGACATCAAAATCAGTGGTATTGAGGTTGAATCTGTTTGGGTTAGTGGTTATGAGGGGAGAAGGCTTTCAGTTGGAATTTGTATCGACTACCAGATGAAATTAATGAGAGCCTCTACAGTGAGATAAATTCAGCTGTTTGTGAGGTTATAATTATGGGAGATTTCAAACACACAGATCAGGAAATGTTAGAGTGAAATCATGAGGGAGACAGGTTTTAGAAACTGTTCAGAACCTACTAGGAACAATGCTATTTTAGAATTATTGTTAATTTCTAATGTAGAAATGTTTGATAGAGTGGAAATTGGGGAACATCTGGGTGCAGGTAATAATTGCTCAATTAGGTTTGGTGTTTTGCTGCATATAGAGATAAGGAATAATGATATTTTGGTTTCAAATTTCAAAAATAAATTGAGGGGATGAGACAAGATTTGTCTGTTATGAATTGGAGATACTGATTAAACCTGAAAAGATGTTTTAAATAAATTCTTAAATATCCAAGATAGGGATATTCCTTATAGAAAAAAAAGGGTGGCTGCAACTGAAAAATCAGGTTGGCTTACAAAGGGTATAAAGGATAATATTAAAGAAAAACATTATGAATTTAAGTTTAAACTAGGGTTTCCCGAAATAGTCAATATTAACCCCCTGAAGTTAATGAGACTGTACAGCGGATGAATAAAGACCATGTGTCAAAAATGGCCCTTAGGGTAAAGTTGCCCTATGCAACCAACTGCTCTATGCCTTGTAGCAGTTGATTACATAGGCCAACCTTACCCTATGCCTAGTAGCAACAGTGAGCATATGATGTTCATTCCTTTTCTCGAATCTTCCACAGTGTATAAATTCACAAGTAATGAAAAATACATATTTTAAAAATAAATTTTAATTTAATTACTTGCTTTATTTTATGATTCTTAAAAAATATTAATTTGGGGGTCGATGACAACTTTATAAGTTTGTCAAGGGGTCGATAACTCAAAAAGGTTTGGGATACCTTGGTTTAAACTGACTGCAATGATGGAAATTTGGAGGATTATGGAAGATCCAGAGAGTTGGTCCGACAGGAAATTTAAAACTATTTGAAAAAAGTTTCATACTAAAAACCAAAATTATGTATATAAAAAAAGTTGGTTGAAAGTGTAAAAGATTATTAGGAAGGATTTAAATAGTAAGGGTAAGCAAAAGACTAGGATGGGAGTAGGGCCTTTGAGGGATGGTACAGGAAGGCTAATATTTGATTATTATGGGATGGCTGGGTTATTAAATTCTTCTTTTTGTTCAATTTTTACTAATGAATATTTAAACAATATTCCTCCTGCTGCACAGTTAGTAGATAGAAACAAGATGACTGCATTCTTTGCTTGTCAAAAATAATATTGGGAAGTTTAAAGAATGATAAATCTCCTGGGCCAAATAATATATACCAAATGAATAATGTTAAGGATTGGACATGTTACCAACTTTCTACTGTTTTTTCAAAGTCCTCGAATATGAGACAGGTGTCAGAAGATTCAAAGTTGACTAATGTTAGTTTTCTTTTCAAGGAAGGTGATAACAATTCTCCCAGTATTTATTAGCCCATTAGTCTTACAACAATGATGGAAAAGCTTTTGAAAGTCTGATAAAAGATGCCTTGCAAAGTTATTTAATAAAGTTCAAAATTTTGTTGGATAGACATCATGGATTCACTAGAGAAAAATCATGTATTACTAATCTTTCAACATTTTTTTTAAAGAACTTATTGTTCATGTAGATGAGGGTGCTGGTCTGGATTTATTGTATCTGTTTTTCAGAAAGTATTAGATAATGTGCCGTATAAAAGACTTGTTAAAAGTTATTTTCGTGGGTGTGAGGGACAGGTTGGTTCAATGGATAGAAAACTAGTTGGATGGAAGAAAATGGGGATTGTTATAATTGGAGTTCAGTCATATTGGATTAATGTCATAAGTTATTTTTTTTATAAGTGTGATGGATAGGTTGGCTCATTGGATACAAAACTGATTGTATGGAAGAAAGCAGGGAGTTATAAATTGAGTTCAGTCAAACTGGATTAATGTTATAAATGGGTACTTCAAGGCTCAGTGTTAGGACTTCTTTTTGATTAACACCAGTGATATAGATGAAGGAATGGTCAATAAATTATTTAAATTTGCTGATGATATTAAAGTTTTGCATATTGCTGGCTGTGAGGAGAATGAGGAAAATGATCTACAAAAAAGATTTGGATTATGTGGTGTGTTGGGCAAATAAATGATAGATGGCTTTTAATTATAATAAATGCAAGGTACTGAGTGTGGGATATTACAGTTTGAATTTTGAGTAGAAGAACCTTAATAGTGTTGTGGAAGAAAAGAATCTAGGTGTTTTTGTTGATGCCTCTTAAGACATCCAAGCAATGTTTTGTTGCTAGTGACAGATAAAAGAGGATTTTAAGTTGTATATTAACATGACATAACATTTTGGGACAACATGAGACCAATTGGTTCATCTTGGCTGTTCCATCTTCTAAACTAAATTAAAATAATTTTAGAAAAATCTGAAAGCCAACCCTTATCATTCATATATTTTATCAAGCTTTTTCTTAAACTTGCGTAAATTTACTGCCTCTGCAACATCCGAAGGCAACCC